TGTTTTAATCTACTAATCATACCCTCAAATGGCAACATGAACTCACGCAAATGCTTATTTGACCATCCAAGCTACAGCTGTGGAGCACTTCAAGAAGGGAAGGAAAAGGAAGTATCGTAGAGGATTGAGTAATGTTTCAAATGGAAAAGACATTTCGTCTTACGATATACCGTCTATGAATATTCTAATCAAAGATACGATACGGGAAGTAAACATTGTGCAAAAAATTACGCTGAGAATTCCCGAATGAAAAAGCTCTTATTATAGTATAGACTACAACTCACTCAAAGTTATGCTAATTAATTACTGTTTAGAGTTAAAAGCACCTCAATTAGATTTTAGATTTTTCTGTCGATTGATTCGACCGAAGTGCTCCGTCTCAGGTTGACATGTCACCTTCTTGTGCAGATGCTTCGACGATGTCTGGGCATGTAATTATAATTTAATTTGTGGATGATGGCTAGCAGTGGAATCCAGGATAACGCGCATTTCGTCCTATTTGGGACTCGTCCACCATCTGGATGTACCTGCTAGTCACAATCCACCAATTAACCCCTAATTAAATGCTCAAACATCATCGAAGCATCTGCACAAGAAGCCGACATGTTAACCTGAGACCGCGGAGCACTTCGGTCTAATCAATCGATGGGAAAATCTAAAATTTAATTAAATAATTAATATGACCCGTTGTACAAGAGGTGGGTGGCTCTCATGGCCCAAATGGTCCACTGGATAATGCTTTCGCGTTTGAAACTATGGGCACTGGCTTCGAGCCTCGGTGGGAGCATCATCACTGACTCACTGGGATATGCAGGTGCATCCAGTTGGTGGATGAGTCTCAAATTGGACGAAATGAGCGTTATCCTGAATTCCACTGCTAGTCACTATCCACCAGTTAAATTAAAAGCATCTTCCTGAAGAAATCTTTTTTGCCTAAATCCTGAACAACAGTAATTATTAGCATCACTAAATCACTCCACTTCACTTTTCCTCCCAGAAATTTGTTGACGAAGTTAAAGTAGCATAGCCAAGGACAAGGTCTTTCAAAAGATGACCTTCAAGACTCGATCAGACACATAGGTGTTATGTACTAGTTTTCCCCGTCGCCAAATTGTTATGTACTCGTCGACAAATTATTGTTATGGACTGGTCGAGAAACTAATAGTCCTGACGCAGGAAAGACGGAAATCAGAAGACCACTAGGTTTGCGATGATACTTCTATTGTCCAAAAACAAGGAGACGAAAATAAAATGGTCTCACACCAAAGTGGTAAGTAAGTAAAGTAAAGTCACAAGATTGTGAATGCGAAATATATATGAATGTTCCAGACAAAGCGTGGGAATAAATCATTAGACAGTCTTAACATGAATGGCTAATTATAATGGAGTGTCGATCCATATACATAGCGAATATAGCAGACATGTCAACAACCAAACATATAATATGGATATATGTCACGAAGCAACGGACTGTCAACAAACACTCATATTATATATAATATAATATAAGGAGAATACACATTAATAAAGGAGACAAGCTCACACAAGTGAAATGGTCACAGACTAAGCGAGCAAACAGAAGAGAGACCAACATACACACACATAAATATATATATGTGGATACATATCAATAGGAAACACTAAAAAAGGTTATTCCAAGTCAAATTATACCTGCCTTTTTAGACTTGGAGAGGAGAGATACAGTATTCTAGGTACTTTTCCTGTAAATCCATACTCCTGGGTAGGGTTATGGCTTTTAAGATTAAGGTTTTGAGCCTACGGTTAAGGTTAGTGCTGGGGTTACAATTGGGATTAGGAGTTAGGATTAGGTTGCAGAATAGTGTTAGAAATATCAATGACCTACAGTCACCTGGATGAATAAGACATATAAGCGAACAATATTGTTTTCAATTAGATCTTCTTCAGGCTTTACTCTAATTTACATAGACTTATATATATAAAATTTTAACCAATGACGGTGATTTAGTGGATCAAATAATAATCGTAATCATAATAATAATAATAATCATAATAATAATAGTAATAATATTGTGGTAAATGTTTTGAACGAAGTTAATAGCGATGATTATAATAATAACAAAATATTGTTAATAAGGCTTATATAGGTGATAAGAATAACAAAGTTAGTATATGCATATATGTAGACAATTCAATAAATAAATAAATTAGGTCAAATCAAATGGAACGATAATCAGAGTTTAAATAAATATCATAAAAGTACGAAGGAGAGGGATGATAAGAAAGGGTGGGAGGGTTTTGAATAGAATTCACCTAGGCCAAGGGAGAGACAAAGGTAGAACAAATTTCTTTTGTATACAAAGACTAGGATTGTTCTCTCGAATTCCCATAGCTTCGGCTAAGTGTAAAAGACGGGTTCTGATTCCGTTCGAAAGACTTGATGGAATGCGGTAAATAACTTTGAAAGCACTATTTTTGTCCACTTGGTGACCACTATCAATCAAATGAGCCAAAATAGAACTTCGTATGGACTTTATTTGACCTTTTCCGAACCATGAAGGAAGATGCTCATTAATGCGTTTATTAAGCTGCCTAGTTGTTCGGCCTATATAGCTTTCTCCACAGGAGCAACTAAATTTATAAATACACATGGAAGTGGCACAACTCGGTAACTTATCTTTCACTTGAGCAATCAAAATTGGCCGGCTGGAAAATGACAAACAGAGGGTGGCGGCAGTATAAGTCCGTTTTATCGCTCTCGATAATCTCTGATGTAAGACTTCACTAGCCACATCCCCATTAAATTGCAGTTTGATGAACAGTTGTTTCTTTTTAACTGTTATCGGTTTCTCTTTATTGTACTTCGCATTCATGTGTCTCCTGACAAATATACTAGGATAACCCATTTGGACTAACGTATTTTGGATGTATCCTAGCTCATTCTCTAGAGAGTCATCTGTACAGATGCGTCTTGCTCTATTCGTCAGGCATCTGACCAAATTGATTTTGTAACGGATTGGTACATAACTGAGGAAATGTGTATATTGTCCTACAGATGTAGGTTTTCTATAGACATCTCTCTTTAGTGAACCATCCTCTCTTCTGCTCAATTGGACGTCAAGAAAATGTAGTCCACCATCATATTCTTCTTCACAAGTGAAGATAAGCGATGGATGTGCATCGTTAAACTTTTTTAACATTTCATTCTTGTCAGCTTTCACATCAAGAATAATAAAGGTATCATCAACATAACGAAAATAAGAATCAGCTTTTTCTATTACTTTTTTTCAATGGACCATTTTCAATCTTGGCAAGAAAGAAATCTGCTAAAATTGGCCCTAACGGAGAACCCATGGCAATACCGTCGACGTATTCAAATTCCTTTCCCGATATTATTATTATTGTTCCTTGGCGTACTTAGTTGAACATAGGGCCTCGACAACATATATTTAATTTGTTCCATTTTCTGTTGTCCTCTGTATCTGGCAACATGATTGCCTTGTAGTTTCTGATCTCCTCCAACCAACACGATTCGCCTCTGTGTCACCTCAGGATACAAACCTAACTGGCTGTTTCTCATTCGGATCCCACTCGAGCGAAAGCCTGTTAATTGAGCGATGTCATTCAACGGTCTCCTCAGCGTACACCACATCTATTTCCACTTTCCTCTGTATATTTTCTGACCAATTGATTCTCGGTTGGTACGCTTCCTTAGTTTCTTGTTGCTAATTCTTCCTCACCGGCCATTTGAACAACAATATGAAGCAAGTGAAGGCAGCCACTGATAAAAGTCTGCATTAGCCTATTAGAAATGTTTGTTGTGACGCACAGTATACGTTTTTGACCCAAATAGAACAAACTTAACGCCGTAGTGTCGAAGTAGTCTCCAAATTACTTCTCGGTCAACGCCGTCTGTCGAAGGCATTTTCGAGGTCGATGACGTTGAGGCAGTGGTTTGACTGCCATTCTGTGCTTTGTTTTGTGTTAATGATACGTAGAGTTGCAATTTGATCAGCACATGACTTGTCTTTCCTGACTCCAGCTTGTTCTGGTGGGTGGCGGAGTTCTGTGTCCAGCGCATCTTTTATTCTGCCCCGGGTGATGAGACTTAATATTTTACTTGGCGTTGACAAGAACATGATTCCACGCCAGTTCTTGCAGAGATATACGTAAGTCTATCTTCTTTGCTAGTTTCACAAGGTAGCCTTTCCCTCAGTCAGCAGGAACCTTTACTCCTCTCAAAATGTCTCGCTATAATGGGGTCAGCATATCTGCTGTGGTCCGCCTTCAGTACTTCGGGGTAATTCCTTCTGATCCTGCTGCATTCCCCCTAGCATTCAGTAGCATGTGCGTCGGTGGCACAGTGGTTAGGACTCTCGCCGACCATGCACATGGTCCGGGGTTCGAGCCCACGCCGGCGCACACCTGATATCTATGGTTGGCCTGGAAAATTTGGGCTACCGATATCCATGCTGAAAATTCCATACTTGTACCAAAAATACAGTGTGGAATCAAGCTGTAAATAAAAAAAAATCAAAAAAAAATCAATTCAAGAATTATGCCTTCGCTGGAGGATTGGTATTTACTGGCAGGCAGTTGTGTGAATGTTGTTGTTGGGGGTGTATTTCTGAGTGAGTTGCAGGTGGTGGTTGGTAAAAGAGTTCTTTAAAGTGACCAGCCCATTGTTTATTTGTCTCTCCTCTTTGATAATTAGGTTCCCTTGAACATCTTTCATAGGTTTCATCTGAGTTGACCTTCTCTTGGATAGAGACCTAGCACCTATCCGGCACCGACTTCCAGAAGGAGTGATATCTGCAACCTTAATTGAATCATTCAAGAAGGGTTTGGACAAGCAAAGAAATTTATCAACAAATCTGAATCTAATGAAGTCATGCCCAGTAAGGTATGCGTTCAAGATGTGTGCAATCGTGCGTTGGCAGTCCGTAGTGTCACTATTCTTTTAGTTGGCCATAGTTTTTATCAAAATTATAGGAGTTTTAACATTAAAAAATAATACTAACCTGAATGATCTTGATCAATTGCGAAAAATGCTTCAACAAATGCATCCATTATTAACATGAACAATTTAACAATAGACAATGACGATTAGAGATTAATCCACAAAATTATTTTCAGTCGAGTATTACAACAACAAAATTAAGAAGTGATTTTGGCGCTCTAGACAGTAGAGTTTTGCATGCAAATATGACTACTAGTGGTAAGTAAGCGCTTGTCGCCCACGTGTTTTTCTTTTGAAGGACATTAAAATCATGTTTATTCAAGGTGAAACTGCTGCAAATTGACCAATAAGAATTACGCTTTGACTATGAACGTATTGTTATCGGATTGGTTGATATTTACTTTTAATGGCCATGAAATTTTCCAATCACTGGCTGAAATAATAAAATACAAGGCATGATTCATTCACGTTTTTTTGTAGTAATTTTGGTTGTTTTGCCTACTGTATGCGAAAAAAAACATGTTTCATCTTGTTCGGTCGTGTGATGATGAAATGATGCTTCAGTAAATATAACATAATGACGAAGCCTTAGATTTGCTTCAATTTTCAATAACATTTTATACCATTATTATTAATATTTTATTTTGACGACTCTACATTCAGTATGCTCATTAATAGTTGAATATGTTCGATGTGCTTGCCTCGACTACATATTCACTTTTGACTCTGTTCCAAGAAGTCTTTTATAAAATAAGCTTTCCAAGACACTAAATGTGTCCTGGACTGTTGACTCGTTACACTCTTATTTCTCAAATAAATCCTACCCTTCCCTGCTCACTGAAGCCGGTGGACCTCAAGGGGTTGTTCTCTTTCCAACCCCCCACCTCTTTTTTCTTTCCTTTAACATAACCTGCCTTGTTTGAAAGAAATCGGTTTTGTTAAATATGCTGATGACTTTATTTACTGTCTTGTTGTCAGTTACTTCCTAAGTTGACTGTCCCAAACTGAATAGCTTTCTGTCCAACACTAGCCAGTGATCTAAGTTTAGTGGTCTTACACTGAATCCCTATTAAATTAAATTAAATTAATTTCACCTTCGGGAACAAAAGTGATCTTCATGAACGTATAAGTTCACACAACGCTGTATGATAAGTACTCTTTTGGGATAAAGCAAATTATTATTATTATTATTCAGGTATTGGTTTTGTAGGGATTTTGTTTGATTGTTTGGAGGGTTTTATCATGAGCTGACATTGGTTAGAGAACCATTGGAAAACAACACGGATTATTGGACAGCCAACTGTTTCGTCAGCCTGGTCTGGGACTCTTCATCAGTACGTACCTACCACCACAGCTAGAACCCAGGAACTTCTGGTTACAAGGTCAGCGAGCTCGTAGACCATTCGGTTGCTACCAACCCAATGACCATCCCGTGAATTCTAACTTCTGACAATTCATGACATAGCGTGACCACTTCGCAATGTCTTCCTCGAAGACTTACTGCCTCACACCTTCAACGTGCTCAACTCTACTGGTTACGGCTTCCCACTAGAATTCCAGGTCACTGCCTGAATAGAGGCAGTCGTTAGTAAGCATCAAATCAGTACTCCTAGGTTTTCCAATGGTTCTATAACTGATGTCAGCTCATGATGAAATCCTCCAACCAATTCAGTAATCATCAACATAAAGGGGTTAGAGGCAAGACACTGGTAACTTCCTTGGATGTACCTTTTCTCTTCTTACGAGTGCTACATCAGTTATTACTATAATAATTATTATTATTACTTAGGTTCCTAGAAGAACATATCTTCATTTCATCTCCTATTCTCTGAAGTCGTCTTTAGGTGGCTAGCTCCACGGTTGTCCATAAGCTTCCAACTCTTCCTCACACGATTTCCACAATGCGACACTCGTTGTTTCCCATTCTGACTCCATTCTGGGGTATGCTTAGAATGTGATGTCATTCGGAGGTCTCCACGGCGTTTATCCGACCAATCTCCATTTTCTTCAGTGTATTTTCTAGGCTGATTGATTGTTTACCGGAATTCCACGGTCCCAATCCTTCCTGGTCATCTGATCTCAAGTAAGGAGTGAAGGCAGCCGCTGATAAAATTCTGAAGCGTAGTAAAATGCCTTAGATAACACACCAAGTCACTGAGTCGTACAGAAGCACTGACGGATTTGACATTAATGCTTTAAATCTGATTTCCATTCCTTATACGGAGTACAGTGGATTCCTACAATGATTTCTGTCGTGCATTTTCGATTCTCTCTGGCTCTGACATCCTCATCCATGCCTATTGTTTTATGTTCATCAACTGAAGACTTGTCTTCTCTGCTTCTTCTACCAACTTGTTGGTTTTCACTTGTATATTTTCAGGATTATACGACACTAGACATATATATCATCCGTGAAGTTCACAACTTTCAGCGTATGCCTGTCTTCTCGTTCCCCCATGGTCTGCCACATCATCTAGTACACAACTATCATAAATAGTAGACAGTTTTGTCATATTCTTTTCTTCACAACCGTCTAGACTTCCATTTATAGAGACTGTCCGTTACATATGTGGGGGCGTGAATTGAATAACTATAAATATGTCCGGAGTCTGCTTGGATGGCATTTAACGAATTACTGCTAAGGTATCACAGTAATAATAATAATAATTTATCTATGTATTTAACGCCAAACTATCCATTCAGATGGACGAAATTGCAATGGAAAAAATCCCCCGGTTAAACATTTAGAAAGCAAAAAGATTGAGGGAAGAAATTTTTTTCAAGCGTACTGGTTTGTAGGAATTTGACTGATTGATTAAAGGATTTCATCATGAGATGACATCGATTAGAGAAGCATTGAAAACCATCATGGTAGTGCTGGGCAGTCAGCTATTTCGTCCTAGTTTGATACTTCTCACAGTACAGACCCACGGCGCTGGTTCAAAGGCAGGACCTTCTGGTTGCAAGGCGAGCTCGTAGATCATTAACCCACTGAGACCTTATCCAATGGCCAGCCCATGAATTCTAACCTCGTGTCATTTCACGACACAGCGCTACTGGCATTAATCGATGTCATCGCTGGCGAGTATTTGTCCTCACCTTCGATCTGCTGTACCTTGCTGGTCACGACTTCCTGCTGGAACTCCAAGTAATTACCTACATAAAATAAGGTCAGTCGCTAGTGAGCATCTCATTGATATTCAAGTATGCGTTTGTAGGGATTGTAATTGATTGGTTACTAGATTTCATCACCTCACTTTGGCTCTTCTCTAATATGTATATCATTTTTATTGCAATACACAACAATTTACCAATCAATTAGTATCAACATGTTACGGGCTTTGATAACGACCAAGGTAGATAATTCAAACAATTAAAGGGTAGAAATGATTTGTTATTTTGCTGCTGCTGAGTGGTTAATAGTAGTTTTACCCGTCGCCAAATTGGTATGTACTCGTCGCCAAATTATTGCTATGTACTGGTCGAGAATTTAATAGTCCTGACGCAAGAAGGCGGAAATCAGAAGACCACTAGGTTTGCGATGATACTTCTATTTTCCAAACACAAGGAGAATGCAAAAGTGGTATCACACCAAAGTAAGTAAGTCACACAAGATTGTGAGAGCGAAATATATATGAATGTCCAGACAAGTGTGTGAACAAATCAATAGACAGTCTTAACATGAATGGCTAATTATAATGGAGTGTCGATCCAAATATACATAGCGAAATATAGCAGACATGTTAACAACCACCATATATGGATATATGTCACCAAGCAACGGACTGTCGACAAACACTCATATTATATATAATATAAGGGGAATATACATTGTTAAAGGAGACAGGTTCATCAAAGTGAAATGGTCACAGACTAAGAGGGCAAACAGAAAGAGAGACCACCATATATATATATATATATATATATATATATATATATATATATATATATATATATATATATATATATATATATATGTGGATACATATCATGATTACAATAATGATAACATGTAATCAAAGATAAAGTAGTTAGTAAAGATAATAAAATAATTTGGACAGCTATAATTTTTAAAGGTTTAGAGGGACGGGGGCGAAGTGCATTCATGTAATAATGGCTGGGGTAAGGAAAGTGTCTGTTAACGATGAAGTCAACAATCCAAAGTCAACGGCGATCCATGAGCGATAGATGGAATTGCGTCTCCTAGTAACCATCTTTACATCTATCTGTATTGATCATTTTTCGTTGACTTTCTCGTTATATGTGATTTACTTTTTTATTAGCTGGTATATTTGTTCTACGTCAACATGTTTGTTAATCGTATATTCATCTGAGTATCAGGCTTTTAGGAATTCCCTGACTGCATTTTCGATGTTTCCTCCACTTAAAATTTCGACATTAACCCAATCATAAAATTGGTGTCCGTAATTGTCTACATGCACTGATATAACTTTTCACAGCTGATTTGTGTTCCTGGATTCTGATTCGAAGGGGACTCCCATTTTGACCCATATAATGTCTGTTACAGTTCATACACTCAGTTTATTTTGTAAATGATATTAATTTTATCACTTAATTTGATACTGTGCAAACCGTAAGATCCACACAATAAAAATTAATACCATTTAAACTGCGTGTATGAACTGTAACAGACATTATATCGGCCAAAGTGAGCGTCCCCTTCGAATGCGAATCCAAGAATACAAATTTGCTGTAAAAAAAAAGACATGTTATATATTCTTTCATATCAGTACATTTAGATAATTACGGACATCAGTTTTATGATTGGGATAACGTCGAAATTGTAAACAGAAGAAACACCAAAAATGTCAGAGAATTCCTAGAAGCCTGGTACGCAAGTGAATCAACCAGCGATTAACAAACATGTTCATATAGACCAAATCTATCAGCTAATAAAAAGCAAATCATGTGACGAGAAAGTTTAAAATCCAAGTCAATAAAAAATGGACAACAGAGATGTAAAGATTGTTACCAGGAGACGCAGTTCTATCTATCACTCATGGAGAATTTAAATCAGTTCACTTAATTCTAAAACTTGCTCTGAGAGGGGATGTTGTCCTGAAGGATGACAAAAGCTCCGGAACTAAACTAACCAGCTTAGAGAACGCTACTAATTGCAGATAAGAATAAAGATAATTAATATGATGTAGAGTTGAATTGGATGAATTGCATATCTTTTAAAGATTATTAAATAAGTGAACTGGTGTGAAGATTTTAAAATATTAGGTCAGGTGTTATCTACAGAATTAACAGTACCATGATGACAACAATAAAGATGGCGAAGATGAAGTGAAGTGGAGTGACGAATTCAAGTGGTAAAATAAAAAAATAAAAGAGCGTAACTATGACCAAGGTTAAGAAAGGGGTTCAACCAGACGTTTTTGAACCCATAATTTAGCTTTCTATCCATGT